TCTTCACACAGCTGGCTCCTTCTTGTCACCCAGTCTCAGCTCAGTCCCGCTCTTCAAACAGCTGGCTCCTTCTTATCACCCAGTCTCAGCTCAGTCCCATTCTTCACACAGCTGGCTCCTTCTTGCCATCCAGTCTCAGCTCAAATGGCTCTTCTACAGAAGCCTGTGGACCACCCACCCGACATCAGCTCTGCCCCCCCAGAGACGTTCCCTACCATTTTACTCAGTATTATTTTCATAAAATTTGCAATTCCCTGATATTTTCATTTCTTTGTCTCTTTCCTCACAAAAGCCTAAGTATGGGGAGAGTGACTATCTTGCCTGTCTTGTTCAACACCGTATTCCCAGCACCTAGAATACAGCCTGGTACCAAGCAGGCACTTAAACATTTTTTTAATAAATATTTTAGAAAAATAATGCTAAGCTATGGACACAAGATCTAATCAGTTAGCAAGCAATTATGCTTCAAATTTCTAAATAGCATTTCTTCCTTATTTTTCTATATAAAAGAACCTCATATGTATTAAGCATTTTGAAAGGAAGATGCATTTCTAATTGCTATCCAGTTAAATACAATTTTAGATATATGCTAATAGCATATACCAAGAATAAATTTTTGTAGCATGAAACAATCCATACCATCTTTAATTACTTGGCATATTCTAAAACTCTCTCCTCTTTACCAGAACTGATATCAAGCAACAGGCAAACTGGGAAGAAGAAGAAAAAAAAAAAGCTTTTTTCAGAAAATTTAAGAGTTTAACTGCCTTCAGCTTTTTAAATTTTAAATAAAAAGGGCAATCAGCTCTTCCAAAGGAAAGATGAAGTTAAATTACTGTTTTTACTTATAATTTTATTTCCCACAGCTCAATTCAAAGCATTAATAGAAATAAGGCTTTTCTGTTACTGAACACCCGATACGAAAAATAACGAATAACTTATTGTCAATTCTTTTAACACTTGCACTCCACATGCATAACCAAAGGAGAAAATAAAAAGGCATAAAAAGTATGTTTGTCTGCGTTTTTTATTCAAAAAAGTCCATGATTCTTTGGTGGGGGGGGCTGATACAAGATGGCTTTCCAGACAGATACTTTCTACAATCTCTGTAATCATCATAGATTTGAAAGGTTCCCGCTCTCCCCATCCCCTTTCCTTTTGGCACCCACGAATGTGATCGTTTCTAGTGGAGAAGGAGGGACCTGGCAGAACGTGACCGGCGATTAGTAGAGGGTGTAGCCAAACTTACCAAAAAAACTGCATCAGAAATGTGTGACGTTGATGACGTATCCTACTCTTGAAACTTCACTTCGTCTACTAAAAAACAAGTGTCTACCAAAAATCAGGCTGCTACGGGAGGCGAGCAGACAACAGGTGGCCAGCTTTTAAAGATAAAGGCAAGAGCTCTTCATTTTCATTGTTCATACGGAAGGACTTAGGAGCTTGGTGCTGACCTGCCTGACTCAATTCAAATTCCTCTCTTCAGCTGTGCTTTAGAGCCGCAGGGTATTGCCAAGAAACTTGGCTTTTAAATCTTCAAATTTTTCAATGTCATTAGAGCTGAATGGATTTTTCTGAACATTACTGCAAAACTGAGAAGAGGGGAGCCTTACCCACCCCCTTTTCCAAAACCTAATAAAATAAGACAGATTCAAAACAGATGGTAATGTTACAAAAGCAGGAAAAAATACAATGCTATGACAGTACTTCTTCTTCTTCTAAGACTATTTCCCACCTGTCGCATTACCTATGTGGTTGAAGTTCTCAGAGGAAGGAAAAGCGAACTGCAAAACCTCCTGACAAAGTAGCCATTCTACCACATGGACAAGGGCTTATTTTGTCTGCCAGCCACAGATTCCCAAGCTTTTCCCCCATTTAGAGAAGGACACATGAGTGAGGGTGGGGAGAGCAGGGAGCACAGTCAAGGACGTCAAACACGGTCTCCTCTTACAAACCCAGCCCCAGTCCTTAGTGGCAACTGACTGATGCTTCATCTGCCATCTTGGTATTCACAGTAAGCAACATCTTTCTTTAAAACTTTTCTTGTTCTTGCTGCTCTTCTTGCCATTCTTGTCTTTGTTTTCTGACATCTTCTTTGCTCTGATTTCTCTCATTAGGTCAAAGAACACCTGGAGGTGGGGAGGAAGGGATAAAGAATGGGAGGAAAAAACTACTTAATAATTTAATGAAATAATTCAACTGAGCAGGAAACATAGTTACATTTTAAAGCATAAAATCAAACATTTTTATAAACCATGTGTCATCAATAACAAAGGATCTAAAACAAGTAAAACATATTCTAACTATACAAAGCAAACTTCTCTACTTATATCACACAACTAGAAAGAATCATCATATTGTTTCTACCACTCAACAGCTTAGTTCCAAATGATAAAGTCTTTTCTTGCGATAAGTACTACGAAGGGAAAAAATATTTTAGCCCAGAACAGCTCTACAACAGTTTGTGAGATTTACAAATATCGAGAGTAAGAACAGTAACGAGACTTTCTAGCACTTCAAACCACCAGAAAAGGAAGACTATGAGTACTTGTTACAAGGCACTTTATTACGCATCACAGGGCCACATTTACTCTTTGTAATGACCCTATAAAGCAGACAGTCTTAGGGATGAGTTTCCCAGCATAAACCCACAACAGCAGACCTGGGGACGTGGGGGGCGGCGATAAATTATCAATGAACTATTGGGGAGAGGAGAGGGAGAGAGGTCCTGCCACGTGTACCCCTCCCCATGTATACCCCTACCCTAATTCCACTGCGTTAGCCAAAGAAACTTGATCAAGCACAGCTGAGGCTCATCCTTTGAACACCAGTTTGTTATTCAGATATGGATTATAATTTGTCACAGTGGGTTGGGCTCTGACTGCTGCTACCAGTAACCACGCCAGAGTACTGATTACGCCCAAGTGGCCAGAGACGTGTAAGGTTTCTCATGGACAATGACAGAGGCCGAAAGTGAGAGACAGAGCGTGCGCCCTTATCTCTGGACACTCACACCAAACCACAAGCTCCTACCTCTTATTTTCCCAGACATACCTTCTTTTCCTTGTCCCTTGGATCAAGCTCCCTGCGTGTGTGGGACTCACAGGCATTGTCTACCAGCTACAAGCGGGAAGAAGGACCCTCCTGAGATCAGGCCTCTAAGGAGAGCACACACCCATAACAGCAGCAGTGAATGGCTTCAAATGTTACGGGTTTTTTCTTTTTGTTCTAACAGCAAAAGGCAGGAGGAGGGGAAGGGAGGGTGCCCGATTTCAAATGATGACCAGGTTGTTCCTTGGCTGATCTTATCGACAACCTTCTTCAGTGTAAATTGTTTACAACTGACCACAGTGCTGCTAGTCATGGGTTTCTTCTGGTTCCTGTCTGGCAGGTCAAGCTGGTCCAATGTAGAAGGGGGAAATGACCGGCCACCGTGCAGCTGGTCCCCGTTTCCACCCCACTCCCATCCCTCACAGAAGTACACATCCATCCTCCCCTGCCGGGAAAGTCTTCCTGAGGTGTGTGAAATGGAGGATATGTCTAGATTTCCCGTGTGGCTTCTACAGCTAGGAAACAGTTCGGCAGAAAGGAAGAGATGTGGACCAGCACCAGAACCAACCTAAGAGTCAAGGTGGCAATGTGAAGTGAAGTAGCTAACAACCTAACACTTCCCGCTGCAGATAACAGTTGCAGACGACAACTCAACAGATCTGTGGTATTACAGAGGCCGCCCGTCAACAGTGCTTCTAAAGTGACCCCTCTAATACGACATCTGAAACACCAATGTACTCACGGCATCATTTCAAGGTGGAGTAACACTCGATTATAAATCTCCCTCTCTTCAGGGAAGAAATGCAGGAGAATTATCTCTTCACAAGAAAGAGAAGGAGAGGAAGAGATTTGGGGGATTCAGACGCTGATGCTGACTGAAACACAGCAGATGTATCTGCTGTTTGGCTCCCAAGAGGTATGCATTTAGGTTTTAGGAGCATGGATTATGAAACAAGAGGGTGAGGGCAGAGGGAAAAGCCTCATCTTTAAGGCTGCCAATTTTATCTGTGTGACATCTTGGGCCTTAAATACGTATATACGTAGGCAACAATAGCCATCCCTAGCAGGTGAACTGGCAGATTGTTGTCAACATTCATCATTGTCAAGGTCATCCTTTCATTAGTTTCAGAGATCTGGGGATGGAATGGAGACAGAGAGAGAGAGAGAGAGAAAAGGTTCCTGGGGATTAGTGACTAAGTTATGAAGACAAAACCACAGAACCTTGGCTCTGTCAGTGGACAATAAGGTTCAAAGAATAAATCTAACCAGTAACTGAGAGCGAAATCAAGAAAGCGTGTTTCTTTCTGGGCCACTTCTCGGGGAGCATCCCATGAAGCCGCCAGAGACATGAAGCCTGCTGCCGAAGATCAAGCAGCTGAGGAAGATGGAAGGGCACAAGGAAGCTACTCAGGTCAGTCTTTCCAGCAGTTTTCACGAACCAATGGCCTCATCTGACCATACTTCCAAGAGCTATGTCAACATTATTTATTCTCTAACAAAGCCTCATGACAAAACAAAACGACTGGGTTTTTCAAAATCCAGCGTCAAGCTCTCCCAATGCTCCTCATGATAATGGCTAGGACATCTGGAGAAACCAGTCTTGTCGAGTTCCCATAAAACCAACGGGGCAGGAGGTCTACGCTCTGCTGTTTCTCAAGTCTGTTTGGCAGAGAAGCACGGGTCACTCGCCTACCTTGTCCACGTTGGCGCGCGTCTTAGCCGACGTCTCCACGTACTGCACGCCCCACTCTTCAGCTTTACTCCTGGCCTCCTCAATCTGCACCTGCCTCCGCTCCTCTAAGTCAGACTTGTTCCCCACCACGAGCAGTGGAATTTTATCTTCTTCAGCCTTAACACGGAGGATCTGTTCCCTGGGGTGTTACATTAAAAACAGAACAACTAAGAAAGCTATAGTAAGAACCCAGGGTTGTCAACCTACCTAAAATGGAAAGCTTTCCTAAGGCATAAAGACAAATGTCCACATTTACGGCCTGTTCCAAGGAAGCATTCCCTAGCTGCTGTCATAAAACTAAGCCAAAACCAAACCAAAGCCGTTGTTGTCCAGTCGATTCCGACTCATAGCGACCCTACAGGACAGAGTAGAACTGCCCCACAGGGTTCCCAAGGAGCGGCTGGTGGGTTCAAACTGCCAACCTTTCCGTTAGCAGCCAAGTTCTTAACCACTGTGCCACCAGGGCTCCCGTCATAAACTAGACAAGTGCTTTTCAAAGTCTGGTTCTTGGTTTGCTTGCATCAGAATTACCTGGGGTGCTTGTTAGGAATGCAGATCTCGGGGTTCAACAGTAGTCCCAGAGAAGCAGATGCCTGAACAGGGGTCCAGGAATCTGCATTTCAAAGGACCCGCAATTTACAAGCATTTTTTATCATTAAAAAAAAAAAAAAAAAAGTGACCCTCTGCAGTACTAGCAGGCTAAAGGAAGTAGCTCCCTGAAATGCTGACTAACGCCTCCTGAAAAAGTGGCATGATTTCATTCGGAAAGGGAGGAAACCCAGTGTTTTTCAAATGGAAGGTGGCCTATTAGAGGATCGTGAAGTCAATTCACGGGGCTCAACGTGCAAGGCTTTTGCTGTTTCTGCTGTGTTTTGTTTCCGTGAAATGGAATATCACGGAACAGAACAGCACACAACCGAAATATCAGAGGACACCTCAACCTGTTTTGTGACACTTTGGTTTCAATCACGTCTGTGTGTGGGTACATACCACCCACCCCCCCACCCAGTCTGCACAGTAAACGTTACAGGCAACAGAATGGGGACACTTATGTTAGGCTATAATCATATTCCAACATGTATTTTTTTTTCTTCTACAAAGTGAAAAAAAAAAAAAAACTATCCCAAGCCCTATGGGGAAGTACTTTTAAAATATCTTCTCTAAAAAACTTACTGGCAGCACATTAAATTTTACCTCTACTAAAAATAACCAGGTATCTAAAATTATGAACCAAAACCAAATATTAATAAATATTAAATATTTTGCTTCCAATATTTTGGCCCAGTGGAGACATCTCTACTTCTACATTCTAAAAAGAGTCTCCTTCAAAAATGTAGTTTGTGGAGATTTGCATTAACTTTTATATGATACAGGGTAACATTTCACAATAATTAAAATATTTTTTAAAAATTTTCATGTGGTTAATTTAAGTACCAGACACCAAATACTTTAAGACAAGCGAAAAAGGAGAAAAACAAGTAGATACTAAAAATGTGCCTCTTGAAAAGCTTTGTTGTTCCCTCCATTTCAACAGGGGTCAAAGAACATGATATATTTAAACGTACGTGATCGGTAAACACTATGAAAAATAAACACTGACAGCCTTCTGGCTCCTCAGCCTTGTGAGGCATGTACAATCACCTCACTAATAAACATTAAAAAACAGGAGTTCTAGTCTCCTGCGACAAGCCCATTTCTCCAGTTCACAGAATACTGTCCAGGGAGTTTCAAGGAAGACAGAGTGCATCAGTGTTCCATTTTATGTTGGGGCCTTACCATTTAGAAGATAAATACAGAAATGTTGTGTTTTACAGCTGCTAACAGGTATAAAATACAGCGACTGAGTTTAACCACAACGGTCTGGATAATCCGCCTCCGTCCTTCTGAGATACCTGGGCAGCGCTGGGACTTGTATCTAATTGTTGAGAGTCTAAGTCAAAAGAATTAGCTTCCCCTTCTTTTTGTTTTAGGCATTCATCTGTCCTTTTTCTTTTAAGGATCCCTCTTCTCACGTAACAATCAAAACTCTTCTCCCAAAATGAGATGAGATTCCGCTACAACTCCATTAGCGTGTGCAAATATTATCTGTGTGCACACGGTAAGCGGGGGGCAGGACGGGGAAGCAGTCTCTCCTCTCTGGAGATGACTCTTCTAATGCCCAACACCCTCTCCTGGTGAGTCCTGGGACAATGGGAAATCGAACGGCTCAGGACAGGGAACAAAACAAGGTAGTGTGTGCATCTGCCTGTTCTACCACTGGGGAGGCATAAAAACAGAATTAAAAATCTATACATGATGCAGATGCTGACACAATATAAGTATGCGGGCTGTATCCAAACGTAAAAAAACCTCTAGGTATGCCCCCAAAATTTGCAAATAGGACTTTTCATGTGAGTTCTAGTGATTTAATGGATCACCTCAACAAACACACTATAATTCCAGAGAACTGAAATATTCAACTCCTTACAGACTTGGAACCATGAAGCCGAACAACTGAGGCACAGCCTGTTACCTTCCGCTCGCTCTGCGGGGTTTTACCTACATTCACCCCTTGAGGTCTCCCTGGCTCAACGATGCTTCCTTCCAAATCTCGGGAGGATATTTAGCGTCCTCATTTTCACCGCTGGTTGAGCACCTTACTTTCTGACCAGAACTTGCTAAGGAATGAAAAACAATTACTGTTTTTTTGTCTTCCTTTTTAGTACACCGTTAGATTCTAATTTCAACTTGACCTGAAGTCTCTGGATAGGTATGTTGATAAGGAGGGTAGATTAAAAAAAAAAAAAAGTTGTGTAAGAGAAATGGGAAAGATGGGAAAGGTACGTATGGAGTAAAGAAAGAGATACGGAAGATAAACATTATACCAAAAAGGCTCAGTGTTTCTTAATACAAAATGAACTTAACATCTTTACCCACTGCATTTTAGACATGAATGGGAACAGTGACTATCTGCTCGCTATAAGCGCACCATGTGCCGGGCCGTGAGAGGGTCTGGGAACACCACGGAATGATGGGCAGCCGCGGTTTCGGTCCTTAGGGAGTTCACAGTCTAATGCACCATTTCACCTCATTTCATTAACCAACAACCTCATTTTCAGATAAGGAAACAATCTCCAATGTTAAATAAATATGCCCACAGCCACAAAGCTAGTAAGTGGCAGAGCAGGGATTCAAACCAAGTCTGTCTGATTCCAAAGCCTAGATTCTCTCCACTCACCTATACTAAAGTCCTTACTTATCTGAGTCACACTGACTCAAATCTTTCATTCTCTGCCACTGCTTCATAAACCCCAAACTAGATCAAAATTGTTACTTTTCTAGTAAAATTATGAAAAAGGTAGAGTTACATCTTATCGATTCACTATCTCTCGTGATTTGTATGAAAACAAAATTATAGGTTCTTAAGTATATGGAATACCTTCACCCTCTTTCAGAAACAAGAGTTTAATATTCAGAAATCACAAAACAGGGAAGCCCGAAGAGATTACAACAAATGGTGGACTACAATGTGCCAAGATTTGGAAAGGAAATTCTTTCAACAGAATTCTTCCTAATAATAAGCTCAACCCTCTACTATACTCAGAGGTGGTAACCCCGAGTCCTTCTAAGTCTAAGATTATGAAAGGAAGGAAGCAGCCCCCACGCTGAAGGAGCTGGCTTCTTCATTTCACACTTACCTGAATTCGGCCGTTGCTGTAAAGGACTCGTGTTCTGTGATCGAGAACACTAGGAGAAAGCCTTCCCCGCTCCGAAAGTAGTTGTCTCGAATGGCTGCATAGTCCTCCTGGCCAGCAGTGTCCAGAATGTCTATCTGGACTTCTTCACCATCAAGGACCACTTTCTTTCTGTAACTGTCAGCTTTGGTAGGTTCATAGTCTTCTACAAACTGAGGAAAGAAAGAACATTATCAATAAGCAACAAGTTTTAAGGCGACTAAAATCTGCAAAAAATAAAATCGATCCACGGGTACTTGGCCTATAATTGACTGAGTATGTAGTGAGTGTCTATAATTATCACACTGTGAGAGGCACTATACAGTAACAATAAGTCCTCATATAACACTTTAGGTCTTTACAGCTCTCCGGTCTATCTTTTTTTAAAAAACAACAGGGGCAGATATCCCCATTTTACAGACGAAAACAAAGAACACTTGGGAATATTATTTCCAGTATAAAATTATATCTGAATACCAGTGGCATAGCTTCCAGCATCACAGCAACAAACAAGCCCCCACAATATGACAAACTGACAAACAGATGCAGCTCTGGATGTGCTCGTTCATCTATGTTTATATTAAGAAATTTGGAAGACAGCTACCTGGCCAACCAACTGGAAGAGACCCATGTTTGTGCCTATTCCCAAGAAAGGTCATCCAACCAAATGCAGATATTAAAGAATAATATCATTAATATCACACGCAAGTAAAATTTTGCTGAAGATCATTCAAAAGCAGCTGCAGCAGTAAATCGACAGGGAACTACCAAAAATTCAGGCTGGATTCAGAAGAGGACGTGGAACCAGGGATATCACTGCTGATGTCAGATGGATCCTGGCTGAAAGCAGAGAATACCAGAAAGATGTTTACCTGTGTTTTACTGACTATGCAAAGGCATTCAACTGTGTGGATCATAACAAATTATGGATAACATTGGGAAGAATAGGAATTCCAGAATACTTAATTGTGCTCATGAGGAACCTGTACATATATGAAGGGGCAGTTGTTTGGACAGAATAAGGAGGTACTGCGTGGTTTAAAGTCAGGCAAGGTGTGTGCCAGGGTTGTATCCTTTCACCATACCTATTCAATATGTATGTTAAGCAACTAATCCGAGATGCTGGACTACATGAAGAAGAAAGGGGCATCAGGACTAGAGGAAGACTCATTAACAACCTGCATTGTACAGATGACACAACCTTGCTTGCTGAAAGTGAAGAGGACTTGAAGCACTTACTGATGAAGATCAAAGACTACAGCCTTCAGGATGGATTACACCTCAACATAAAGAAAACAAAAATCCTCACAATGGGACCAATAAGCAACATCATCATAAATGGAGAAAACATTGAAGTTGTCAAAGATTTCATTTTACCTGGATCCACAATCAACACCCATGGAAGTAGCAGTCAAGAAATCAAAAGATGCATTGCATTGGGCAAATCTTCTGCAAAAGACCACTTTAAAGTGTTGAAAAGCAAAGATGTCACCTTGAAAACTCAGGTGTGCCTGACCCAAGCCATGGTATTTTCAATCGCCTCATATGCATGCAAAAGCTGGACAGTGAATAAGGAAGACTGAAGAAGAACTGACACCTTTAAATTATGGTGTTGGAGAAGAATACTGACTATACCACAGACGGCCAAAAGAAAGAACAAATCTGTCTTGGAAGCAATACAGGCAGAACGTTCCTCAGAAGCAAGGATGGCGAGACTACATCTCACACACTTTGGACAAGTTATCAGAAGGGATCAGTCCCTGAAGAAGGAAATCATGCTTGGCAGAGTAGAGGGTCAGCGAAAAAGAGGAAGACCTTCAAAGAGATGGACTGACACAGTGGCTGCAACAATGGGCTTAAGCATAACAACAACTGTGAGCATGGGCCAGGACCAGGCAGTGTTTCGTTTGGTTGTACGTGGGGTCATTACGAGTCAGAATTGACTTGATAGCACCTAACAACAACAACAAAATTATAATATAAATATTGGCAAGGATGAGAAACAGCTCTTATTCATAATCAACAAAAGTAGAAAACTTACCTGAAAAGTAATTTGACAAAAGGTACCAAAACACTTAAATAACTATACAATATGATGAACTACACAAAATGATAGATAAACAGGCCAAAGATTAAATGTTAAAAATGAAACCACTGCAGCGCTAGAAGGAAACACGGGTGAATTCCTTCACTACCTTGAAGGGCGGAAGGTCATTTTAATTAAAATCCAGAAGCTATGTAAAAAAAAAATTGATAAATTACATAAAAATTAAAAACAAACGTCTGTATGGCACACACACCATAAACAAATGACAAACAGGAAAAAAAAAAATTTGAACCACATCACAAAGAGCTAATCTCTCTAAATATACGGAGTTTCTAGAAACAGAATTGAAAAAAAAAAAAGACCAACAATCCAATGGAAAAAAATGGGTAACAGACGTAAACAGATAATTTACAGAAAAATAAATACACATGACCCTAAACATATAAAAAGCTGTTTGTCATCACTAATAAAAGAAATACAAATTAAAACTATATGAGACACCATTTTTCACCTACCAGACCAGCAAAAATCCAAAAACTTGACAACATACTCTAGAGGACAGGCACTCTTTTACATTGCTAGGAAACATAGAAATGGTACAATCCTGAAGGAGAGGAATTCAGCAACATCTAACAAAATTAGAGACGCACTTAAACTCCGTTCCAGCAGTCCTGCTTCTAGAAATCTAATCTACAGAGACAACTCACAAAAATATACAAGGTTATTCACTGTGGCACTGTATGTAATACCAAAAGATTAAAAACTACCCAAAAGCCCAGCAATACAGATCACAATGGAATAGTATGTAGCTATAAAAAATGAGGAAGATAACCATGTATGAATATGGACACAGCAAAGAATATAATAGTCTATCTTTTGCTCAAGAACATTAGGGAGAGTAAAGAATAAGAGTATGCATGTGTGCCCAACGGTCAATAACTACTTTAAAACAAAGATGAGAATGTAAAGGGGCAGAGAAACCGATTAATGGAAACGGAACAACCAGAACGGAAATAATAAGCATGTTCCTGTGTTGTGAAGAATGTAATCAATGTCACTGAACAACTTGTACAGAAACTGTTTAATGGGAATCTAAACTGCTGTGTAAACCTTCACAAAAAACACAATAAAATATTTTTTTAAGAACAGTATGTATATGTGTGCCTACACAGGTATATATGTATGTATGTATGTACGTATGTATTTGAATTTTTAAAAAGGCACCTAGGAAGGACAAACAAAACAAATTTAACAACTGTCGTATTGAAGGATTTCCAGGCAACACGTCGCTATAGACAGAAAAACCACGCCATCCCTCCACAGCAAAGATCTGAAAAACTAAGTCAAACAGAGAAAAACTTCAATCCTGACACCCTAAGCATCAAATGAAGAGATAAAGAACTCAGCCAAGCACCGAATGGAATAAGAAACTGACAGAGAACAGAGAGCGAGGAGAGATACATGTAGAGGCCCCTACCAGCTAACGCAGCAGTGATCTGCCATCTTGGACTGTCGGAGATCAGCAGACAGGGAGTACGGGAAAGCAACTTCACGGAGCTCCCAGCAGGAGACAGAACAATGGGTAACCAGCGATATACACTTTCCCACCCCCAACCCTTCTTCACCCCCACTCGGCCTCCTCTGCTTCCTGTGGCCACAGTCTCTTGGCCAGGAAGCAATGGTTTCACCCCAGTGCCGCTTGGATTCTACCCGCCCACACTGGCCGGCTCCCTGAGTGCCATTTGTTGGCTGCTGCTGTTGTTTTTTCCACTTCTTTTGGTTTCTTCCATACCTCTCACCACCTCCCCCTCCTTCTTCTCAAATACCTGGCTCCGTGTGCCATCTTTGCTTCTTCCTGAAAGGCTGTGAAATGCCACTTGACTGTGGAACACCTCCCCAGCCCGTGCCGCCATGCTGGTGGGATCCCCTGGGCTTTCGTTTGTTTTGATTTGTTTGTTTGTTTTCTTTTTCTTTTCTCGGCTTGGGAGGCCCTTCTAGCCAGGCAGTTCGGGCAGCTTGGTAGCTACGGCCTCAGTCTGTGAAGCCGTGCAGTGGGATCCCAGGGGGATTTCTTTTTTCTTGTTTTTATGCTTTCTTTGTTTTCTTTCCTTTTCTCTCTTTTTCCCTTTCTGTCTTTCTTCATTTTTCAGTTTCTTTTCTTTTGAAACCTACCTTCTCTTCCTGACTCCTGAATACCTGGCGCTGTGTAACACTTCTATCCCTTCTAGCCAGGCTGTACTCCACGGCCTGGGAGCAACTTCCCCACTCCTCTCAGCCGTACCAGTGGAATCCCAGGGGGCTCTGCTTTTCTTTTCCTTTTTTTTTTTTTTCTGATTTTTATTTATTCATTTTTTTCTCCTTTACCCTTTTTCTTACTTTTTTTTCTTTTTCTCCATTTCTCAGTCTCTTATCTCTTCACTCCAATGGCAAGCTCTCATAGCACTTTTTTGTTTGTTTGTATGTTTTTGGCTCCTATTCCTCTCTCTTCTCTCTCTTATTTCCTATACCCATCTTACCCAACACATCACAATCTCCCCCCTTTCCTGCCTACCTAGACCATGCGCTGAACATCACACCCCAAGCAGCACACACACGGCCTACCAGAAACTTTCTTACACTGATTCCTGGCCCACCCTGTAGGCCCAGTACGTGTCACAAACAACCCATCCCAGCAACTCCCCCGTCAGCTGGACCTGCCCTGCTGTATCATACCTGAGTGACTTACCCTGCCCACTAGAGAAGAAAGTGAAAAGTATTGTTCCCACAGACGAGCAAACAACAAAAAACACACAGCCCGCCTGCTCAGACATAACGAAATAAAACAAAAAAGCAGGACGAAACAAAGAAATCTACAATCAATAAACAAGGAAAATAACTACTAAATGCCCCAAAGACAGTAGACAATATCAAAACATGTTAAAAAAACAGGACAAGATGGTTCCAGAAGGCATCCAAAATAAAACACCAGATGACTTTCCAGTAGAAGAAAAGGCTGTAGAATTACCTGATAGGGAATTCAAATCTCTAATATTCAGAGCCATCCAAGAGTTGAAGCAAAAAGCAGGCAAAAACGAAGAAAAAATAGACAAATTCATGGAAAAGGAAGACAATTTCATGGAAAATAGA